GTAACTTTTCCACTTGCTGCTCTTCCTCTTCTCCTTCTGGTACCCCTATAATTTGGATGGTGGAATGTTTAAAGATGTCCTGGAGGTTCCTAAGCCTCTCCTCATTTTTTTTAATTCTTGTTTCTTCATTCTTTTCTGACTTCATTCTTTCTTCCTTTTGGTCCACTCCATTGATTTGAGTTCCAGTTTCCTTCCCATCATTATTGGTTTCCTGTGCATTTTTCTTCATTTCACTTAGCATAGCCTTCATTTTTTTCATCTCATTTGCAACCAAATTCAACCAATTCTGTAAGCATCCTGATCACCAGTGCTTTGAATTGTGCATGTGATAGTTTGGCTATCTCTTCGTCGCTTAGTTGTATTTGCTGTGGGGCTTTGAATTGTTCTTTCGTTCGGGGCATTTTTTTTTTTTGTCTTGACATGCCTGTTGTGGACTGAGGGGCGGAGCCTTAGGTGTTTACCAGGGCGGGGCAACCCAGTTGCTGGGTTGTGATGTTGTATGTGGGGCGGGGTCCGAGAGGAAACAATGTCACTTGCTCTGCTCTCTATCGGATTTTAGTCCCTCTGACCCCTTTCCCCAAGCAAACTGGACTTTTCTGGTGGTAATTCCCATGTGGGTGGGCTTGTGCACATTCTAGAACCCCGTGGGTCTCTCCAACGAACTCTCCTGTGAGGCTGGGAGTATCTCCCAGCACTTCAACCCCCACAGGTGTTTTCAATCAGTGTCCCGAGGCTGTTTCCCAGTGCTGGGACCCTGGGTTGAGCGGTCTGTCTCACTCCCCAATTTTGCCTGGTTTATCTGTGCATGAATGTGGGACTGCCTGGTCAGCCAGCCGCCTTGCATGCAGTGTCTTGCTTCACAATTGCCGCCTCACTGGGTCTGCCTGTCACCACCCAGTGCCCAGGGTCTGCCAGCCACTGCCTGCATGATCAGGGTCCACCCACTGCTGTCTTGCATGCTTGGGATGCCTTACGCACCCAGTGCCACTGCTTTTTGTGCTGTGACCCCTCTCCGCCTGGCTGCCCAACTCCACTCTTCCTATCGGTCTGGATGAATATATCTCTTTTAACTCCTTGGTTGTCCGATTTCCATACAGTTCAATTTTCTGTCAGTTCTGGTTGTTTCTAAATTGTTGTTGTCCTTCTTTTGGTTGTGCGAGGAGGCATAGCATGTCTACCTATGACTCCATCTTGGCTGGAAGTCTAGGGTATCTATTTCTATCTACCTTATATATTAAACTTCCTCCAGAAGCAATATGGAACTGTTCAAGAATGTTAGGCAGAAGAGTGACATGATCAAATTTGTATTTTTAAAGGTAAGTTTAACAGTGTGAGAAACTGGAGACACTGGTACCAGAGAAGTTAGTTAGGTGACTATCACAATCTTCCGGATAAAGAGATAAGGAGGGCCTGGACCATAGTCAAACAAACAGATGTAGAGAAGGGGTCATATTTTAGGATTAATAACACTAGGATTTAGTCCCTGACTGAACATGGTGAAGTGAGGAGCTGAGTGTGACTGTAAATTACTAACTAGCTTCAATAAGTAGGTGAATGGCACTGGACAAAAAATTTTGGGGAAAAAAGATAAGGAGGTGGGAGCTTCCACCCAAGATGGAGGTGTAGGTAGGTATACTTCACTTCCTCACACAAACAAAAGAAGGATAGCAATCAACTTAAAAACAAAAAACAACCAGAACTGCCAGTAAATCAAACTGTATGGAAGTCTGACAACCAAGGAGTTAAAGAAGAAACATTCATCCAGACTTGTAGGAGGGGTGGAGACAGGCAGCGGAGGCAGAGAGGATGCGCAGCAAGATGGTGCTGGCAGACCAGGCAGGCAAGGCAGTGGCTGGTGGACCAGGTGGTCCCACATTCCGTGTGAATAAACTAGGAAGAACAACTATAGAGCAAGACAGATCTCTCAACCCAGGGTTCCAGTGGGGGAAAAGAAAGCCTCAAAACCTCTGACTGTAAAAATCTGTGGGGGTTGCAGTGATGGGAGAAATTGCCAATCTCACAGGAAAGTCTGTCATAGGGCCCCATGGGGTCCTAGAACATATACAAACCCATCCACCTAGGAATTAGCATAAGGACAGCACCTTAAAGGGCACACTTTGCTTGTGGGTAGCAGGGGAAGTGACTGAAAGCAGGGCAAGACCTGAGCAAGCAGCATTGTTCCCTCTCTGACTCCTCCCCCACATACAATGCCACAACTATCAACAACTGAACCTAAAACTCAAACCAAAAACAAAAACAAAGTAAGCAAACAACTAGAACAGGAACAGAATCACAGAAAGGGAGGTTATATGGAGGGTTATCAACAGGAAGGAAGAGGAAGGAGAATGGGGGGAAGGTACAAGGAATAAGGAGCATAATTGGTAGGCATAAAATAGATGGGGAGAGATTAAGAATGATATAGGAAACGGAGAACTCAAAGAACTTATATGTATGACCCATGGACATGAACTAAAGGGTGGGGAATGCTAGAGTAAGGGAGGTGCAGGGCAGAAGGGGAGAAAACAAATGGGACAATTGTAATTGTGTAATCAACAAAATATACTAAAAAAAAGATAAGGAGTTGGTTTTGGAAGTGACAGTGTTCTTGCCAATAAGTACCACATGTATTTCAGTGAACAGGAGTTCAATAAAACTTACAGTAGGAAAGACATTTGGCAGCCAATTGAGAGCCAGACTGATGGTCTAACAAGATGCTCCTGATCCAAAACAAGATCTCACGTAAATCACTGCATAAGTAGAGCCTTGGTCCTTTATCCATAAGTCACTTTAGTAAAGCTACAGAAACCATAGGACAAAATGCCACATTTGGCCAGAGGTCAGACCTCAGCAACACAGGGAAGACTGTGAAGGAACCTCAGAATGCTTCCAAATGGCAAATAATGGTCATAAAGCCCAATAATTTCTCTTTATAAGCCAGGCAGAGCCACTGTTAGATCGCTACCAAAACGACTATGTAAAACAAGGCAGCCTACTAAACACATCATTGATGGCGAGAAATGTGTGCAGAGTAACAACTAAAGATGCCTGGATCTGTTCCGTGTAGGTATCTAGATAAGTATGGCATAGAAAAGTAAAGTTTAAAAGAATAGCCCCAAGTTTTTAATAATGTTGATATATATTAGTTCCTAAGGTAACAGTTACTAGAACATTTTCATCAATATGAATGAATAAAAAAATTAAGGGCATAACTGAATACAGGCAAGCATCACCAATCTAAAAAGTTCAGGATATAAACCTCCTTACAATAACAAATAAACTGTGGGCTATTATATATCAGTTATCAGAATAACATTAAAAGTTATACATATCAAATCAAAAGAAGTAAAAGAGCCTTCTTTACCTTTCCCAGGTTTATATTTGAGATTGAACGGCTGATTCTGCCAGATATAAGGGACCAACATAGGTGCAAATTGGGTCATTATTCTCTCAATATACTTTTGAAGAATCTCCTTGTGTTTTTCTGGGTCCCTTGGTTCATCTGGTATCAGGAACAGGCGGTACTCCACAGTATCTTCTACTGTAGCAAGCTTCATATTTTCCTCCATTCTTCTCTGAAAACTACATTTAAGTTTCAATAGTATAAACCATGTAGAACAATGCAGAAGTAATATTCCATTCCCTGAACTATTGTAGGTGATTCCATTAACATTGTTTTCCACAATTCAATTATCCACATACCATCATGGTATCTGCCTTAACAATATATCAAATATAGTAACACTTATTTAATGTTCTTTTAATGACATTTTTGTACTTAAAATTATGTTTAAAAACTTGTGATATAACACAATGAATGGAAATCCAGTATCACATTCCCAAATTAAATAATACTTTTATAAGAACAAAATTGAAAAATATTTGCCTTTGTAGTTGCAGTGGCATGTGTAACATTTTTTGAGAACACTGCATTAACATCCTCTGTTTAAATACTAACCAAAATCCCAGTTCTGCCACTAAATTAATTGTGTCATATTGGGCACTTCACTATCTCTTTCTGGGGCATTTTCTTTCATTGTAGAATTAGAGTGTTACTCTACCATCTCTAGGATCCTTCTCCGATTTACATTTTCATTATTTAATCCCTCTTAAAAGCAATCTCCCCTACTCTGCAGAATTTTAATCAATCTCTTTCATAAACACATCATGAAATAGAGCAATTCAAAACTACAAAACATTCATGTCTCATCCCAAAACAATCTGCCTACGGTTCTTGATCTGTCCAAAATTTGCCCATCTTTCAGGAGAACACAGCTCTAATAAACTAAGAGGTAGATATCTTTATTTTCTACGGGCATCCCTTACAAACAAAAGTACTAGTTTATTACTGCTTCCAGGTGATGCTTTGTAAACAATGGCACTGCACTAGATGGCCCACGTGATCCGATTTTTATATTTATTCAGCTAACGGACTAATAAAATGAGGTCGAGAGGAACCTGCATCTTCTATCCAGACACCCATTCACCAGTCTGTCCAAATCGTCATTTAGCCTTTCAACCCAGAGGGACAGACAGTAATTCTACCCACCCCATAATGCCAAGCACCCAATTCAGTGTTCGAAGTAGAAGGGACTTTGAGGTCACTCGAGCTAGCTCCTCACAGTACAGATGAGAAAACAAGGAGAACAGAAAGACAAGCGACCGAGTAGCTGAGGCCTGGCTTGTAAATCTAGGGCTCTTTACTCAGATAAGCTCCATCCTTCCACCTGACAAAATGAAGCCAATTCCTCTTACGGTTCTAGGGTCTCTTCGACTCGTTTCCTCCGCCGCCCCCCCCGCACCGCGTGAGCTTGTCGGGAACAGCCAGCAGCCGCCAAAGCCTGGCCCCAGTTTCGGTCCAAATGCCTGTCTGGAACCTGAGGCCCAAGGCAGCTCTGAAAGTCAGAAACCCGCTCAGCGCCGGAACCGGCAGCGTCCCCACCACGCTTAGGCCGGAGCATTAGGCTGGCGGCCCGACGCCTTCGTCACTTCCGCCCCCGCGGGGGAGTAGGGAGGGCGGTGGACTGGAGAGGTGGGGAACCCGAGGAGGTGGCGGTCCGGTGTCCAGGCGACGGGGCGTGACGGGGCTGCAAGGTGGCGGGAGGGGGCCGGGCAGGAGCCGGCGGGAGGGCCAGGCCTGGAGGCCCCCACCCTGGCGTGCCCGCCCCGGCCGCGATTGAGGAGGAAGAGGAGGATGATCTCCAGATACACTCGGAAGTCTGTGCCACAGAGCTTGGAGCTGTGAGTGCCATGCTCAACCATCCCAGCCACGGCCAGGGGAGGCGAGGTGGGGCGCGGGCGCTCTGGGGACCCTTCGTGACCAGTCCCTCGCTCCTTTCCTTTCCCAGGTGGGAGAAAGAAAATTTTCTTCGGAAATCTCTCCTTCCAGCCCTGCCGGACTTTGTCCCTTCTACCTACAACTCCTGCTAAGGGTGTGTCACCTGTGCTGTCCCAGGGCCTGGCCCTTTTGGGCGGCACTTCCCGAACTATGGCCTCCTAAGGCATTGGTAGTTTCCACAAGAAGTTGTCAGTAGCTGACTGTTATAATGAAGTTAAACCTATCTAGTGCCAGGCACCTTGCAAAGCTGCTTACATTAGCTCACTTAATTCTATTCAACAAGGATAGAAGATGGGGACTGTTATTTTGCATTCTACAGATAAAGATCCCAGATTTAAAGATTATAGCATGCCAAAGATTACACAGACAGAAAGTAGTGGAACTGAAGTGCAAACCCGATGTCAATCTTATTCTGAAGCCTTGGTCACAACCATTACACGTACTGCCTCTCCGTTTCTACAGTTAAGCATCAGAATGTACAAGGATCAGTTTTGCTCTGAGATTTTAGAGAGTAAATATTTCTGGCTAAAAGTCACCCCCCCGCCCCCACTGAAGTACTGTAATGTAGTAAGTAATGATAATTTCACACATTTATAAATGCTTTTACACTTTGAAAAAGACTTTCATATCTCCATCCTTCTAGCAACCACTCAGTAGGATGGGTATGATTATCTTCAGTTTGTCAGAAGGTGCTATGTCACACAGGTTATATACACACATCTTAAGATTATATAACCAATAAGCTTTTGAGCTTGGCTTTTTAACTCCAGTCGCCCCCCCCCCTTCTCCAGTAAGCTGTGTAATTTAGCAATTATACAATTTATTAATATTAAGTATATATGGTATAGTAATAACAAGCTTGTTATTCTTCAGTCACATCTGAGTTTCTGGCTAGGGTTTTTTCTGGCCGTGTGACTTTTAGGCAAATTGCTAAATTTTTGATTCTTCATTTCTTTAGTATAGGAATAAGACCTTATCTAAAAGCATGTCTAAACTGATGGCACAGAGCTTGACACATAGTTGGTCCTCAGAAAATAGTAATTGCCTTGTCCCTTTCCACCTTTACCTGGTACAATAGCCACACAAAGAAAATCAGTCTGTGATCTCTCCTTGCCTTTCTGAAGTGTATTATCTACTAAATAATAAGATACCTACACAGTAGCAATTCAGATAATAAGCTTTTTAGAAACTACGAAGAAGAATGTCATTTCCTAATGCAACTAGGTTTAGCTAAAAATATGCTTTTATAATAAATCCTGATCATTCTGAGAGTAAAAACTATCTTTTATGGAAAAAAGTGTTGATAAGCACTTATTGGGCCAGAATTACTGACCCTGTATAGTTGTGTTACTTGTTCTCATTTGTTAATTTGACACTCCCTAAACATAACTTTCCCAAAGGGGATTCTCTAGAGGAGTCGGGGTTATGTGAATGATGAAGATGATGAGTAATATATGCATCTAAGTGACTGTAAATTAAAAGCAATTTTAATTTACTTTAGGTATTATAATGATGATTTGCTTTGAAGTGGTTACTTCAGTTTTCTCCCCAACACTTCCAAATTGTAGATGTTGGAAAGATTTTGGAAAAAGTCATTTTCTACATACAGCTTTACATTTTTTAATGCTAAGTTTCAAACACAAATACATAGTAAATATAATGAGCCATCAATCACCCACATTAAAGTTATCAAAATTTTAATATATTTGCTTCATCTATATTTTCTTTGTTCCTCATCTGTGAAATAAGGAAACAAAATCCTTGGCACTATCATTTTACCCCTATATACTTCGGTATGCATGATAGACATTTCCTGTGTCACCACAATGCTGTTATCAATTTTAAAATTTTTTAAAAAAATTTAAAATTTCTTTGGTGTTATCTAGTTGTCACTCCATAATCCACTTTCTCTGACACACTAAAAAATGTCTTAAGTTTTCTATTTCCTAGCTGGAGTCCACATTTCTAATCCCTATCACTGTCTCAAAGACAAGCTTTTGGTTGTAGGATCACTGAGTGAAAGAAGCACAAATAGCTCTCTGCACAAGCCTTTCCCACCATTGAAGAAATAATTAAAACTACAAGCTCCACTGACTGGGCCCTTAACTTCATATTTGTATATAAAAAATAGTACAGTTCACTAAAATCTCAAATTATTCATTTGCTCTGAGAAGCCTCAGAGCCAGACTACTTGGGTTTGAATCCTGGCTCCATCACTTACATGAGCCTTATGACCTTAAGCAGGTTACGTAATCCCTCTATGCCTCAGTTTCCTTTCCTGTGAAATAAGAGTATTAGAGGTGTATACTATACATCTCTGGGAAGACCTCTTGTAAAGAACCTGTGTAACTTTGTTTAACCTATTGTGTTTCCTAAATTTACTTGACTACTGAATTTTGTGGGGGAGGAAAATCTAGTATTGATGATTAGGACTGGAATATATAACTCACCCTTTAGTTTGTTCTTACACACATGTTGCACTCCACAGCAGCACTGTCCAATAGGAATATAACACAACCCACATCTGTAGTTTTAAATTTCAGGTAGTCATATTAAAAGTAGTAGAAACAGGTTTTTTTACCCTTTTTTTGAAGTAATTATCAATTTTTTTACCTTTTTATTTTGAAGTAATTATAGACTCATAGGTAGTTATAAAAGTAGTGTATAGAGTCCCATGAAGCCTTCACCCAACTTTTCCCAATGATGACCTACCTCTTAACATGACCGTAGTATAATTTCAAAGCCAGGAAACTGACATTGGTATAGTACTGTCAACCAGACTACAGACCCTAATTCACTTTTCACTAGTTTTTATATCCATTCCTTCGTGTGTGTATGTGGCACGTAGTTCTATGCAATTTGGCCTCATAGAAGTTTGTGTAACCACCAGTAAAGTCAAGATGAAGAGGTGTTTCATCACCACCAAGAACAGTCTTGTGTATGTGCCCCTTGCTGGTCACATCCACTCCTTCCTTCATCTCCTGGTAACCACTCATCTCTTCTCTGTAGTTTTATCATTTGTGAACGTTGTATAAGTGAAATTATATAGTATTCAGCCTTTTGAGACTGGCTTTTTTCACTAAGCATAATGTATGTCCTTGAAAGCCATCCGAGGTGTTGCATGTGTCAATAGGTCACTTTTTTTTTTTTCTGGATCATATTTTATTGTGTGGATGCACCAGAGTTTAACCCTTCACCCATCAAAGGACTTTTCCGTTGTTTCCAGTTTTATTAAAATTATAAATTAAGCTGTTCTGAACATTTACATGCATATTTTTGTATGAATGTAAGTTTTCACTTCTCTGGGACCAGTGCCCAAGAGTGCATTACCATGGCTAGGTCTTATAGTTTTATAAGAAACCAAAACTATTCCAGAGTGGCTGTACCATTTTCATTCCCACCAGCAATATGTGAGACATCCAGTTTCCCCATGTCCTCGCCTGCCTTTTGCATTATCAACATGTTTTATTTTAGCTGTTGTAATAGTTGTGTCGTTATACCTTATTATATTTTCAATTTGCCATGAAATTAATTTTAAGAATATATATTTTTAATTCAATACATCCAAAACATTATCACTTTACCATATAAGCAAGATAAAATAGTGAGATACTGTACATTCTTATACTGAGAGTTCACAGTCCTGTGTGTTTTACATTTAAAATGCATCTGTGCATCTCCTTTCTGACTAATCACAATTTAAGTGCTTGTGCCTAATGTATTGGACAATGCAATTCCAGAGCAGCAAGAAGTATGTGACCAACTTAGACTATGTTTCTGAAAAGTACATTCTTTGTTTATATGAAATATACCTTTCTTTTTATCTTTTACAGGAAAGGAATAACAAAGTATGCTCTTAGTCATCATCCCCTTCCAGAGCAGCTGGATGACATTTCCTCTGCCAATGACAGCCACACAAAAGACACGAGCTCCCAAAGGTAATAACATAGAGTGTACTTGTTTGCTTTTATACCTGATAATGGCAAAGGTTTTGTTTTTTTAGCTTATGGTTGGTATCAAGCCTTGTACCAAAGAAACAAAGCAAATTTTTACCACATTTCATTACCATTTATCTTCAGTGTGGAACAGCTAATGGAAAAAATGTCATACTTATTTTTATAACCTTTGAAAAACATAGACTCAGGAGTCCAACAGATACGATTTTTAATCCTGGTTCTGGCACTGGTTAGCTGAATTAAATTGCAAGTTACTTACCTGATAACAGTATTTCATAAAGGTGTTGTGAATATAAATGAGATGAAGTATACAAAACTTGGCATAATGCCAGGCATATAGTAAATGCTGAGTAAATATTAGCTGCATATACTATTTTAAGAAATACAACAGAGGAGACTATAACTTCAAAGAAGCTTCTGAGAAGCAATGTGGTATTACAGGAAAAATTGCAATCATAAAACTTAGTTTCAAAACCTGGAACTAAATTTCAGATTCTTTGTCTTTAAAATGGGGCTGAGTTCTGCACCACCAGGTTGTTGTTGGGATAAAACGGGATTAGTATTTGTAAAAGTGCTTGATTAACTGTGCAAGTGCCATATAATCTCAGATATTACCAATATTTCTGAAGTGTCTTTAGTTGTCAAAGGTATATGTTACAGGTGGAAGGTTAAAGTATTCATTCTAAACTATGGCTATTAGGTCCAATGACTGCCATCAATTCTATAGGAATTGGACAGGACTTTTTCTTGATGCTTAAATTTCAAGTTCATTGACTTTTGCTTCTTTAGATGTATTTGTACATATGTTATTACCTAGTCACTGAGTAATTAATGCTTCAAAAACTTGAGGAAATAATAATTTTTCTGTTTCCTCTCTTCTTTCCAAATTCTGTACTTAGTGAGTCTGACATCACACAAGAATCACCTTTTACATCAGCTGATACTGGGAATTCAAGGTCTGCTTTTCCAAGTTATACAGGCACAGGGATCTCTACTGAAGGCAGCTCGGACTTCTCCTGGGGATATGGTGTGAGTTGTATGTTACTGTGGAGCACTTGAGAGATTATTCTGGGAGTTAGGATTTGTCAGTTTTGTCAGTATCTTTCATTCCTTCACTCTCCTGCATTGTTTCTTTACACTTTAATACTGAAATTTACCACATGTTCTAATATTTATAAAGAAGCATCAGTCTTCACCCTCTGAGTATTTGTTTTGTTTTATAGATATAGTTGATTTTTAGATATGCTTACTTAGTGCTTGACTGAAACAATTGTAGGTTAGTATGGATGTGGGCCCAGGACTTACTCCTTTTGCTGTGTTCAGTTCACTAATGTGTCTCCACCAATGTAACACTAATGTTACTTTGTTTAAAATGTTTTTGAAAGTTTATTAAGCCATTACACACTGGGAAAATGCTACTGTTAAATGAAAAAAAGCAGGTTAGGGAGAGTTTTTATAGTTCTAATTTTATTTTACATATGTTTGTTTATATATATTAGAAAAAGGACTAAAGATGTTTACACAAAGTGTTATTCAGTCATTATTAATTGGGCATTGAGATTTCCTATTTATTTACTTATTTATTTATAGCTATATCTCCCATTGTAAAGTACTATTTTTACAGCAACCTTAAAAAAAATTGCCTGGCCAGGTAGCTCAGTTGGTCATTCTGTATACCAAGAGGTTGTGGGTTCAATCCTCAGTCAGGGCACATACCTAGGTTACGGGTTCGATCCCAGTTGGGACATGTATGGGAAGCAACCAATTGATCTCTCTCTCTCTCTCTCTCTCTCTCTCCCTCTCTCTCTCTCTCCCTCTCCCTCTCTCTCCCTCTCTCTCCCTCTCTCTCCCTCTCTCTCCCTCTCTCTCCCTCTCTCTCCCTCTCTCTTCCTTTCTTTCTAAATCAATAAATATATCCTCGGGTGAGCAGTAAAAAATTTTTGTATAGACAAATTTTAAACATGTCTTTCACTTTGATGCAATAGGTAGTTTTATTTCTGTATCCTCTTTCAAGCTATGTTTAATTTGACCCAGCTGTAATCATAGTATACATACAGTATTATGCTCTGTTCTTTCACTTATATTATTTTGTGAGCACTTTTCCACAATATTGTTGTTAGCAACCTACTTTCTTTATAAAAGACTGATAATTGTTAGAACCTATTATTAGCACCATGAATTATTTTCCAGTCATTTTAATTTGGATGTATATATACTTTCCTTACATAGTTGTATGATATATATGTATTCTATTTTGTGGTATAGTTTTTCATTCACCATTACTTCATATAGGTATTTTCTAATTACTACTTCCATCCCTGTCAGTTTGAATAGTTATATAACATTTCCTTATTTTAATGTATCATAATAGAGCTTTTCCTTATTAGCTAATAACTGGGTTTTCTGTTTTCCTTCATTCAACAAATATTTTTTGAGCACATTTGTTGTCAGATACTGTACTTGGGAATATGGGTGAGGGAGGCTTATGTGATTCAATAGTCTAACACAGGAGACTGACAAAAGCAAATAAACAAAATAACCACAAAAGATAGTAAGAGCTCAAAGGAAGATGACGGTACTGAAAAAGAACATTATAAATAAGAGGGATTCACTTTATTTTTTTTGAGGTACCAATATTTTATTCAAGTTTTATTTTAAGTGATGTTAATTACAACATTTGAAAGGGAGGATCTAATTCCATACAAAATGGAAGATTCTAAAATGTGTCCATTAAACTGCTAAAAAATAAACTGAGTAGTGAAGCTATACCAGAAGTCTACTTTAAGTTCCAGGTGTTGCCACCATGCGATTACAGCCACAGAGACTCTTCCCAGTGTGAAGCTAGAGCTCTTAGAAGCTATCTCATACCCTGATTCAAAGGAAAAAGGAAACACAACATGAGAGGGAATTAAGTCCTGAATTACTGACTTCATCAAATCCACCTTCTCCCACCCCAAAACATCACAAAAGAAGCAACCACCACACCCTGCAGCTACTTTTGGTGTGAAAGAGGTGATGGCCGAGTATGGATACAGGTCATAAAGATCTTCCTTAAAAAGTTCCTATGGGTGACTCATACATGCCAACAGTGAGCCTCATTTAGGATAGGATGTCAAGGTTCAATTCTCAGGAAGTTACATTTTCATTCATTTAAGCAATGCAGATTTACAAAGTCCTTACAAATCATTAGCTACCACTTACAGACATTTCTGAATAAAGAAACCTGAAGTTCCTGTTAGGGGAATTCACTTTAGAGAGGGTTTCAGGTAGAGTAGATCTGAAACTTGAAAGTTTAGGAGTTAACTGTATGAAGAGTGAGGAAAAGAGCTTTCCAGATAGGTAACCAGCAGTAGATACAAAAGCCCTAAGAAGGAAAAGAGCTTCGTGTGCCCAAGGGAAAGTATTTGGTATATTATTAGAATTTTAAAAAGGTCAGGATGATTAGAGAAGAGTGTACCAGGATGAGAAAAGCACAAGTGAGATGAGAGAGGTAGACAGGACTAGAATCATTAGGCATTGTAAACCACGGTAAAGAATTTAAATTTTGACTCCTGGCCAACGTGGAGGTAGATATGCTGTGCCTCCTCACAGAACCAAAAGAAGGACAATAACAAATTTAAAAACAAAAACCAACTAGAACTGCCAGAAAATCAAACTGTATGGAAGTCCAACAACCAAGGAATTAAAGAAGAAACATTCATCCGGACTGGTAGGAGGGGCAGAGTTAAGCAGCTGGGGTGGAAAGGACTCACAGCAAGATGGTGGCTGGAGGACCAGGGCAGTCCCACATTTGCATGCAGATAAATGGGGAAGAACAACTGGGGAGCCAGACAGACCACGCAACGCAGGGTTCCAGTGCGGGGAAATAAAGCCTCAAAACCTCTCACTGAAAAAATCTGTGGAGGCTGCGGGGCAGGAGAAGCTCACAGCCTCACAGGAGAGTTTGTTAGAGAGACCCACAGGGTCCTAGAACATACACAAACCTACCCACCTGGGAATCAGCACCAGAAGGACCCAATTTGCTTGTGGGTACCAGAGGAAGTGACTGACAACTGAGAGCCAAGGAAGCTGCATTGTTCCCTCTCAGACCCCTCCCCCACATACAGCACCACAAAGCAGCTACATGGGTTGCCCAGCCCTGGCAAATACATAAGGCTCCACCCCTTACTCTGAAACAGGCACACCAAGACAAAAAAAATGGCTCAAATGAAAGAACAGATCAAAGCACCAGAAAAAATACAACTAAGTGATGAAGAGATAGCCAACCTATCAGATGCACAGTTCAAAACAATGATAATCAGGATGCTCACAGAAATGGCTGAGTATGGTCACAAAATTGAGGAAGAAGTGAAGGCTAAGCAAAGTGAAATAAAGGAAAATGTACAGGGAACCAAGAGTGATGGGAAGGAAACTGGGACTCAAGTCAACAGTTTGGACCAGAAGGAAGAAAGAAACATTCAACTGGAACAGAATGAAGAAACAATTTAAAAAAATGAGGAGAGGCTTATGAACCTCTGGGACAACTTTAAATGTTCCAACATCCGAATCATAGGGGTGCCAGAAGGAAAAGAGGAAGACGAAGAAATTGAAAACTCGTTTGAAAACATAATGAAGAAGAACTTCCCTAATCTGGCAAAGGAAATAGACTTTCAGGAAGTTCAGAAAGCTCAGAGTCCCAAAGAAGTTGAACCCAAGGAAGCACACACCAAGGCACACCATAATTACACTACACAAGATTAAAGAGAAGGAAAGAACCTTAAAAACAAGAAAAAAGGAGAGAGTTACCTACATAGGAGTTCCCATTAGACTGTCAGCTGATCTCTCAAAAGAGACCTTGCAGGCAAGAGGGGGTTGTAAAAAAATATTCCAAGTCATGAAAGTCAAGGATCTATATCCAAGATTACTCTATCCAGCAAGGCTATCATTTAGAATGGAAGGGCAGATAGTGCTTCCCAGATAAGGTCAAGTTAAAGGAATTCATCATCACCAAGCCCTTATTTTATGAAATGTTAAAGGGACTTACCTAAGAAAAAGAAGAAGATCAAAATTATGAATAGTAAAATGACAACAAACTCACAACTATCAACAACCAAACCTAAACAAACAAAAAACTAAGCAAACAACTAGAATAGAAACAGAATCACAGAAATGGAGATCACATGGAAGGTTATCAGCAGGGAGGGGGAGGGGGAAGAATGGTAGTAGAGGTACAGGGAATAAGAAGCATAAATATAGGTACAAAATAGATGGGGAAGTTAAGAATAGTATAAGAAATGGAGAAGCCAAAGGACTTATATGTACAACCCAAGGACATGAACTAAAGGGGGGAAATGCGGGTGGGAGAGGGAGTGCAGGGGAATAAAGTGGGAGAAAAATGGGATAACTCTAATAGCATAATCAATAAAGTAGATTTCAAAAAATAAAGGAAGATGGAATTTCATAGCTTTTTAGTAGAATCTTGCATGTTGAGCTTCTTAACTCACAAGACTTTTATAATATATGGTATAAGGTATGAATTAAGTTCTTATGCTGTTAAATCTATTTTTAAACCATTTTTTCTATACTTGATTTAGTATCGTGGTTTTTCATATTTTAAAAAACCTACTAGTGTTCACTAAACAATGTATATTATTTAGTATTTGTGTCTTTACTCTTTCAGAGAAATTTTATTTTCATTTCTATAACATTTTCTATAAAGTATTTATCAGGGATTTAATTGGGTTTGCATTATTACTTTTTATTAAATTAGGGTATGTATAGAGAGAACTAAAATTTATTTTTTAATGACTTTATTTGTTTACTTTTAGAGAGAGGGGAAGGGGAGGAGAAAGAGAGGGAAAGAAACATCAATGTGTGAGAGATACATCGACTGGTTGCCTCTCACATGCCCCCAAACAGGGACCCAGCCTGCTACCCAGGGATGTGCCCTGACTAGGAATCGAACCAGCGACCCCCTAGTTTGCAGGCAGGTGCTCTGTCCACTGACCCACACCAGTCAGGGTGAGAACTAAAATTTATTAAATATTT